AATCACCTCCTGTCCCAGCTGATCTCAGCCTTTGAGTCGCCTCCACCCGCCCCCTCTGTGGTTTCCTCCCTGTCTCTTTGCACCCCTCAAGGAAAGGATGGAGAGACGATGGAGGGCGCATGCTCTCCCTGCACAATGAGTACCAGGTGATGCCACCAGTGACCCCATAGTCCCCAACTAATGGGTAGAGGTGACTCCTGCACAGCCCCAAGCTTCCAGGTGGCTTGCATGGCCTCAGCGGGGACAGGGACAGCACTTCTCCAAGGGGCCAGAAGTAGAGGAACCCTCTCTGGACTCAGAGGTGTCCCAAGAGGGGCTGGAGGCCCTGACATGGTTGGTGTGATCCCTGAAGCGTTTGCTGAGCCCCATCCCTGTAGCTTGTTCAACTGTGACCCATTTTGGCTTCAGTCAGCTGCCAGCTTCTCCCTGCCATCCCAACCCAAGGAAGGGGACACACAACCCGTTTGGGGCCACGGCATTCCCCTTAACTCACATCCCTCTTCCTCCCCCTTCTCCATCCGCAGCGAAAGCCCCTCCGGCAGCTCGAGGCGGGGATTAGGGTGAGACTAATGCGGGAGCCCCGCAGCCACCTCCCACAGGCATCAGAAAAGCCAGCAGAAACCTTAAATCAAATGCAGCTAAGTACAATTGCAAAGCTGCAGGCACAGGTCTGAGAGAGCATTAAGCAGCATTATTATGGCTCGGCGTACTGCCGGTAGTGACATTACCGCAACTTAAAATGTTTGGGATCAGAACTGCAGAATCTATTCTTTTCTGTGGGTTTTGCCTGGGCCGCGTTTCCATTTTTCTGTAGAAAATACCTGTTTGGCTCCAACAACCTCCTGCACTTTGCTGTTCAGCTCTCCGGGGGTTTTCTTGCCTTCCTGCTCCCCATTGTATGTCAATGGCAGGCGGATGCTTTACCCTCACTGCAGCATCCTGGAGAAGCATCCATGCTGAGTCCAAACATTTTCCTTTACCCGTCCTCACTGCCAGGTTGTCTTTATTCGCTTCCTTTTTCTTTTTTCTCCAGTTTCCCTTCCTGAAGTTGAATGACACTCTGCTAATTTGTAGCCCGACTCCTCCTGAGACTTTTGAGCTTAATTATATTTTTCTCATCGTTGTTGAACGGCTTGGCTATAATTATGCCTGGAAGTGCATTACTTAGGACTAACCTGCGAACAGCATCCCCTCTGGGGTGCCAGGGCATTGGCGGCTCCAAGGAGCTATTATTTAAGGTGCTGAACAATGGGGCCTCATGAAGCTTGCGCTGGAGAGGAGGTGAGTGCTTGCCAAATGCCACCCGTCTCTGGGACTCATATCCCTAGCACTGGGGACGTCCCTTCCTCTTATAAGTAGTCCAGCCACTAATTATAAAACCTTGGATTATGGTAGCAGAAGGAAACCCTGGAGAGAATTAGGTTCTGTCTGCTTTGCATTAAAACTGCCATCATCGGTCATGGAGAGCTGGAGTTGATCCTGAGCTTCCCCTGATGCTCCACATGCATCTGTCCCCCACATCCAGCAGCTGTGCTGAAAGCCAAGGATGAGCTTTCTGGCTACCTCTCTTGCCTGGATACTGTATTTTAGTTGACCATGACACACCAGTGCCTATGGACAATTTGCCTTAGGTATGAACGTTACCACCGATGAGATGGGAGCCGGCATCTCCAGTGCATCCTTCATCCTTCCAGGGCAGCAGCAGAAAGAGTGACAGCTCTTGGCTCATTTAAGGGGGGAATGAAGCACCTCATAACACAAAGAGGACACCCTGCACCTTCACCTTAAACAGGCTGAAAAAGGCCTCCCTCCCCGGCTCCCTCTGAAAACCTATAGTTGGTGTCAACGGCAGTTTTTCAGACTTGATTCATAGCCCTTCTCGCCCATTGACTTTACACGAACAATTTCAGCAAATGGGAGACACAAGAGGAAGGAAAGTGTTATTTCATTTTAATTGCATCGAAGAAAATTTAGGAAAATCATCTACCGAACCGAAAAACCATTCCTTAAATGAGCTTACTTTTCTGTGTCACAGATAACATTGTGCTCTCTTCAGACTGAAACAACTTTAAGAATCCAATTTACTTGTCTTCAGTACACTATGTTTTTAGCCTACTTTCCTCAGGAAATGGGGCTTACTTATGTGATTGTGCTGTTTATATATCTATATGCCATCACTCCCACACTAATAACATTTGAACGTGTTGGCCAATTCCATCCAAATCTGACAGAGCGGTAGAGTTTTCAAAAATACTGAATTCTTACAAATTTAATGAAATACGTGGGTGGGCACATATTTTCCCCCACCAAGGGAAAGGCTGCAGAGTGAACTCAGCCATATTATTAGACAGAAGAGAATACACAGACACAGGCACACACAGAGAAACACCCCAGTGCTGTTATAAAATCCCCAGGTGCTGGTGAGCCAGAGCTCACGTTGGTATTAGATGGGGAATTGCAGCCTTGAGCCCCAAAGCCACCGAAATGAGCATCTTGGATTCCTCCACCAAAGCCCCCACTGCCTATTCTGTGCATTTCTTCCCGTTTGGATGATGCAGTTTGGTGTGGGCACTGCAGGGTAGTGTGTTTATTCATTTAGAAGCTTTAAAATAAATTGGACTTATTATACGAGGGCCTTTCTAGCTGGTTCTAGGTTTGTGAAACCTTGCCCGCTTTTGGTTCTGAACACTGAGGAGACCTCACCTCCTCACCGAAAGCCATTAACACAGGCAGCAAATCCTCCCGGGGTTGGTAACCCAGCACTAATGCACAGGGCACATCACGTCGGAGTCCGTCTGTCCCTGGCTCCCCCAGTGAGCGATGGGCAGATCAATAAAGGGCTTTTCAACACGCCAGCAGCCCTCACACACCCTCACGGAGGCTGTGGCTGTGCTCATGAAAAGAGCAAAGCCCTGGCTTCCCGGTGCTTGCTTTCTTCCACATGTGTCTACTCAAGAACAAACCCGTTAGGACCGAGGGCAAGCCGTGGTGGGAGCCCAGCTGCAGGATGGAGACGCCAGGTTGCTCACGGAGCATCTTCTGGTGGGATCAGGTTCAGCCCCTGACAGAATCCTCAAAGCCGTGTCCTCCCATTGATTTATTTCTTTGCATCTTGACTGATATTAAAGGGGTCTTCTGGGTAGTCCCCAAAACCCACAGCTTTGTTCCTCCTCCACACACAGGCATGGTCACAGGCTGCATCCTCCCTCCCAGCACTGCTGCTGTTCTCTGGCAGAGCTCAGGACCACGTTACTGGTACAGGGGAGGAAGGTATTCACACCCTCGCATTGCTATCTAATTTGATTTTTTTCCCTTCTCTCTCATAATTAGAAGGTGCAACATTATACGTCAAGAGCTCATTAAAGTATTTCCAGCATGGAGGGGTCGTATCTCTTCCAACTCCCACTCTTTGTGGATTTCTAGGACCACTGCCACCTGGGGAGAGAGGATGCTCAGGTTCTCAGACCCAGTATCCCACGGCAGACCAGAGCTCCACATTTCCAGGATTCAGATCTTTGTGTTGAGGCATTCACATCCCCAGATCACAGGGAAAGATCTGGTCTTTCCACTGCTCTGCAGTCTGTTTCCTACCTGGCAATCTAGAGGGATTTCTTTTTTTCTTTTCTTTTTTTTCTTTTTTTTTTTTTTTTCCCCAAAGCTTTGACAACAATTTGGTACAACATCAGCTCGAAAACATCATCAAACCCAAATATGCTCCCAAAGCAGGCCTGGGAGTCTCATTCACATTGCAGATAAGTCATCGGCAGACATGCTGATAAAGATTTCAAGTGTGACTCTGCATACAAATGATCCAGACCCAACAATTAACCCAGCGCAGGCGACTGAGGAGGTACCTGGCTTTTTCCCCCCTATCCCCAGCCCTTTCTCCCCAGCCTGGCTGCTACGTGTAGCACTTGCTCAGAAACCAAAAAGGAACGGCCACGCTCTATGAAACCAATCCTAAAAAGTGATAGGAAGAGCCCTGAATTTGGCAGAGGAGACTTTCCTCCTCGGCTCACCTCTTGTCTGGGAGCTCGCTGCAAGTCACGAAGCTCCAGGCACGTTTTTGGGAGCCATTTAGAAGGCGTTTGAGTTGGCCCTGCTTTGAGCTCGGAGTTGGACCCTATTTTAACCGAAATTAGACACGATCCCTTCTTCCCCCCTCCTCCTGCCGGTTTTCAGCCGATCAGGTCCCTGCTCTGAATCCTTGAGCAGTTCCACGATGGCTACAGCCAGCCCGGGGAGCGGGGGATTCTTAAGGATTGTAGGGGTTATTTGGGCACCCAGATCTGCTGCTTTCTAGCAGAGCCTCGGGCAGGCCAAACCCTTCCCAGGCATCAGCTGCAGCCAGCGATTTGACTGCTCTTCCACTCAAAACCTCTTTTGGGAGCAGAAATAGCTGGGAATCCTCCCAGCGCAGGCCAACCCTGGGATGGTTCCTCTTGGCTATAAGTCAGACAGAGGATACAGGCAAACAGCATCTCAGGAGCTCTTCCCCTAAGGGTATCATCCCTCTTATTAAAGAGGCTGGGGAGAAAATGGGGTGAATAACCCAGTACCTGCTAAGTGACAGCTATCAGCCTGTGAGCCCCACACCATGACCCACAAGTGCAGTCCCACTGCAGCGCAACCACCCCCCGGCAGAGGTTGCAGCAAATGCCCCACTCTGGGTGACCCTGCGTGGCCTCCACGGCTGGTTCAGGAAGGCTGCACATCCACAGCCCACTTGGAGTTAGCAGAGGGACAACTCCTCTTGGATCCACCCCATTTTGACCACCACCCATGCGGCTTGGGCAAGCCCAGCGGCTTGGCTTTCCAGGATGTAGCCCGCTCCCACTTTGGATCCAGATAGCACCACCTCAACGCTTGCCTGCCTCCAGCAGCTTCCCTAAAATACCCCTCTGACCGGAAAAAACCCCATCCCACTTCTCCCATCAAACCACAGCCATCGGGGCAGGGCCCCGGGGCAAGATACCGCATCGGGACGGTGACCACCTTACCTGGACGCTGCGATCTCTGCTTTCTGCTTGGCGATGGTGGCCGCCCGCTCGGCCGCCTCGACGGCCCGATCCACCTTCTCGCGGATCTTGCTGGCCCGCAGCGGGATGAGGTTCTTCCTCTTGCCGCTGACCAGGACGTTCTGCTTGTACTTGCCCTCCTCCTTGGTGCCGTCGGGGAAGGTCATGCAGCCGTAGCCGTGGCGCTTGTTGTTGGCCCATTCTCCCTCGTACTTCAGCCCGTCCGAGCGCTGGCTCACCCCGAAGCCCGACCGCTTGTCGTTCTTCCACTCCCCGACGTAGATCTCGGTGGTGGTGGCGTCGATGTCGTCTTCGATGACGGAGAGCTCAGCTTCGCCCTCGCCCAGGCTGATGGTGGAGTTGATGTCGCTGGCGGTGGAGCTGACCGTGCTCATCCCGGCTTCGCTCCGGAAAGAGCTCTGCTTGCTCCGCTGGCTGGCCAAGGAGCTCTTGGACTCGGACTTACGGAGCTTGAGCCCGCTCAGCAGCGACCGCCGGAAGATGCCCTTCTTCTTGCTCTTGAGGATCTCGGCATCGCTGTGGGCCATGAGGACGAAGCCACCCCGGGAGACGGCAGGGCTGCCGGCCACCGCCGGCGAGGAGTCGGGGTGCAGCGCCGTGCCATTGGTGTGCTCGCTGCGCAGGGAGTTGATGGACGTCCTCAGGGGTGACCTGATAACCGCAGCCATGCCGTAGGGAACGCTCTGCCGCACGCCGTAACCCTGGCGCATCCCTCCGACCCACTGGCCCTGGTATGTCCCTGGGAAGAGGAGACAAAAGCAAAGAGGGGTTTCATGGCACGGCATCCTGTGGAACGCTAACAGCATCCAACCCTCCGTGAGCCCTTCATGAGTGGGAGCAAGGAAGTGTAGCTCTGGATCCCAGTCCCACCTCTGTGACAAAGATTGTAATGTCACATTGTGGGAGGAAAAAAATAGCCTCTTGGTGGGATGGCAGGCGTGCACTCCAGCAGAAGTACTAGAAACCAGCCAAGGCACAAGTGTGCAGGGAGAGATGCTCCAAGGAACTGCCCCTTAGAGCAACGCCTAATTTGAAAGAGTAGGGAGGGGAGATATGGGGTAGGAGAATCGTTATCCGGGAGCAGATTCTGATCTGGTCCATGCCACTGGCAGTGATCAAAGCCGATGGTATATTACAATGCATTTATACATTATTATACATATATTATACATACACATAGCGCCTTTCATCCAGCACGTAGCGGAAGGGAGCAGCTCTATAGAAATAAAGGCCTCACGGGGAGAGATCCATTTGGTTATTCCCCTTGGAAACGTGCCCCTGTTTGAACTCCTACATTTGCGTGGGCACTTAACTGGAGTTGCTTAACTGGTCATTAGCAGGGTGAAAAGCAGACGGGGCCTCATCCCTGGGAATGGAGGCACGAGAAACCCATCCAGCCTGGGAAGCCCAACCTGAGCTTGCCCCTGTGCACTGAAGTGCGTGCCGGTAATCTGCCCGGGGTTTATAATCCCTTCCCCTCCTGGAGCTCGGCGATTGGCACGCTTTCTCATTTTATCCCGGGTGGTTGAACCGTGGGGCTTGTTTTTATTCTTAGGTCGGCTTAATCTTTTCTGGACTAGCTGGAGATGCAGTGATTCACCGCCCGCCTAAGCCCTCGCGGGTGGATGGATGAGCCCGAAGGACGGCACGGTGCCACCCCAGCCTGGCACTGGTGCTGCTGGGATGCTGGGGCCCGTCCCAGCCCGGGGCTGCCCCGCTGCATCCCATCCCCGGCCGGCGATGCAAAGAGCGGGATGGGCACCGGCACCACCAGCCCCGCTCCTGCAGACCAAGGGAGTCCTAAAATAGACTTGCTGAAATAGTGAACCCTGTGGGAATCACACCAAAACAGCCCCGTTTGATTACCACCAGCTCCATCTGATAGAGACTTTCCATCCCCAAAGATGCTCTTTGCTCTTAGCAATCAGCCTGCGATTCGTAGACACGAGCAACCCGTCGGGTCCACCTGGAGCTGGCTCTTTGGGCTGCAAAAATATTTTCCGCCGAGACCTCTCCGCCTTGCTGAGGCGCGTTCCCTCTCCACGTTTTCCAACAGCCCAGTGGAAAGGGTTATTAAAATGGGCTGTGCTGGCCACCCCTGTCCCCAGCCCAGATAAACCCTGCTCTCGCTGCAAGGAGTGATCCCAACCCAACAGCCACGCATCCTTTTGCTCCCTTTCATTCCTCATCCCCATCCCACCCCCAGGACTCCCTTAGGGGTTTCCACCACCTCAGGGGTAGCTCTGGAGATAGGTATGTGCTGGAACACGCTGAGGATGGAAACTGCTTCCCAAGAGTGTGAAACCAGCACCTGGACATATTTTGAGGTGCATTTTGGGGTGCATCAGCTTTCTTATCTAACAGCCACCAGCGCTTTGCACAAATCCCCCAAGGCTTGGGCATCCTTCCCGGTGCTCCGAGGCAAGCAACCCCCAGAGGTGCTACATTATCTGGGTGACAGCCTCATGCACCCCGAAACAATGCCAGCCCCGAGCTGGAAGACCCCAGGAAGACTCTCTCGAAGAAGGACATAGAGGCAAGGCCAGGAGGGCAGGATTTTCTGAGGGTTTATAGGATTAGCACCGGGGAGGGAGGAAGAGCACTGGGATTATGGCAGGCACCGGGCAGGGCAGGGCGAGGAGGTGGTGACAGTGCTAGTGGGGAGAAAGATGGGGGACAACCAGCAAGACGGCTGGCAAACAGCTCAGAGGAGACATCAGACATGTCCTGTGGTTGGGTGCCAGCCATGAGCCGGGCTTGCTCTGCTGCAGCCCACTCTGCTGTCCCCAAAACCAGGCAACAACTGATGCTGTGCACCCACGGCTCTCCCCTTGCCCAGTGGCACCCTGGAACAGTGTCTGTGGCAGGGGAGAGACCTCCAGGACATCCATCCATCCATCCCCTGCAGACCTGGCACCATCTCGCTCCCCTTTCTGGCTCCTTCCCAGGGCATCTCAGCAGGACAACCTACTGGGAGTGATGGGCAGCAGCTGGGTGAGAGATGTTTCCTCCACCGCTCCGAGCACCCCTGCAAAGGGAGCCCCCAAGACAGCTTGGGATGTCCTCACCCCGTGCTCAGCCTCCTGTTTCCTCTAGAGATGGATTCAGGGGGTTTCAGGGAAAGATGTCAGTGCGGGCAAGGGGACAGGGAGAAAAGGTCCTGCATGAGATCCATCAGAACCTGTCCTGCCCAAGTCCTGGACTCCCTTTCCCTCGGCTGCATCCCTTGACTCAGTCCCTGGCCCCAGGCAGGTCCCTTGACCTCCTGGTCTCCTAGCAAATCTGCAGCTGAAAAAAACCCCAACGGATTAAATCGAAGAACCATAAAGCAAGCCCAGCCCTTTACTGGAAACCAGAGGCAGCGGCAGAAGAGCAGAACAAAGCGCTCCCAGAGCAGGCTGACAGTGCGTCTCAGCTGGAGCAGGGGCGGCAAATTGGTCACAGCAGGTTACAGCTGCAGCGTATCTCCAGCAAGGCAGAGGTGCCCGGGAAGCTGTCATCTCTGCACGGCCTTAAAACCTACTCCTAGAATTGCAAGGCTGCCAGGAGCAATCACTGCATCTCCTTGGCAAGGCTGATCTGTCTGAGCAGAGGACGCAAGGCCTTGAGGAGCCATCCCACCCAGCTGGCTCGTCCTGCTTCTCCCTTCCCAGCATCGTGGAGCAACTCCCAGCAGAGAGCAAAACCCAAACCCCAGGTATTGCTTTCATGGGGGCCGTTGCTCTCCTGATTGCTTCCCTGCTGGAGGCAGGAGGGTGGATTGCTTCCTCCCTGATGGCCACCAAGACATCTGGCAACTTCAAGGCCACCAGCAGATCAAAGCGCTTCCTTCCAAGGAGCTGATTTCATCCGTCCTCCCTCACCCAAACATCACTGCTTCCTTCATCTGACTTCATTACGTTTTAAACTCCGAAATATCCCAGGATTTGGCCATGAATACTGGAAGGTCTCAGAGCCATCTGATCTGCATTGCTAAGCACTGTCACCTCCTCCCCTTGCACTGCTCAGCTTAACCTCTGCCCCCTAACACTTGCAGATAGATGCACAAAGCTTAATCTCACAAGGAGCTGGGAGACTCTTCCTCCCCGCAGAGGAAACAGGATTTTATGATTTTCCACTTTACGTGCCAGGATGGACGGGCTGTAGCTGTTCCTGAGTCAGGGAGCTGAAAAGGGAGCGCGCAACGGGAAGCCCGTGCAGTGGGGAGCGTGGGATGGGGCTGGGTGTAACAGGACGAGCACGTCGGATGCAAAAGGTCCCCAGACTGATCTGCTGAGGTGCTGAACGGAAGTTCTCAAGGACTTCGGTGCCAATGTAGAGAGTTGAGCACCTCCCAGGGTCGTGGCAGAAGAGCAGACGCCCTCTTTAAACCGTGTGCAAGAGGGGAACATGCCCTCCTTGGGATGGGAAGCAGGGAACAAGCTGGGATGGAGAATTGCTGGGGAGTAAAATGTGCCAACCTCTTCCCCAAGCCATGCAGGTCCCTCTTATGGATGCCTCCAAGATGCCACAAGTATCTCCCCCCTTGCACTGGGAAAAAAGGCCACAGAGCAGCCAAGAAAGTCCTGGACATGGAAAGAAAACCCTCCCGAGCCAGGTAATTTGTGACTTACTACGGTAATACAACCAAAGCAGCAGCCATTTCTGCGTTGTAGCTCTTCCCTTACTGTCAATATTTGCAAAATGCTTCCTGAAGCATTAATTGCATGAGATTAATGGAGTGATTGCATCGGGGAAAATGCAGCATCCATTATGTGCTCAGGGCAGCATCGTGCAGGCAGCGGAGCCGTGCGGCCAGGGCTGGGGCTGGGTGGAAATCATGGATGATGGGAGAGCGCTGGATGGCCAAGCCAAGAAATCTCAGCCACCGCTACCGCCCTGCCGAAAAAAGGGCCTGATCCTGCCCTGGGAATAGGAATTTTGCCATTCATTGTAACGGCAGCAAAACCAGAGCCTGAGGGAATAAGCAGGTTGTGCTCTTGCTCGCCATGGTTTTACCCCAGGGAAGATTTCTTGACTCTTGGTGTCATTGCTCCAGCAAGACAAAGGTGATGCCAAGGAGGGTGGGGATGTGGCCAGGTGCGTGCACACTTTTGGAGCAGAGATAAGGAGAGGGCATAACCTGAGGCTGGGAGAAATAACTGAAGTCATCCTGAAAGATGGATTGGTGAAAATATTCCTCTTTCAGAAACAGCAAGAAAGGGAAGGGGCTTGCAAGGAGAACTATGAAAGTCAGGATGGGATGGAAACACGGAAGGAAGAAAATGGGCAATGTGATTGTTGGCCACTTGTGTTTTTAAGCCTGGGTTTTGGGCTTTTTTGGCTGGCTCCCCTTGGAGCAAGGCTGGGTGGTTTCCAAATGGCTTTTAAAACTCCTGCAGGAATTTTCATTGCCTTGAGGACCGTGCGGAGCCCCATCCTTGGCTGGAGCCAGCCAGGCTGAAAGCAGAAAGCGGGAAGTCACTGGCCTCCAAAGCGTCGTTCCTGATGCTCCAGCAGAAGATCATACGTTTTGAGAAATGACAGGTACCAAAAAGTAATCTAATTTGTTGCAGTTATTCAGCGCTTTCTCAGCATTTGGCTCCGGAGGCTAAAATTCATTCTGGGAAGAGAGCAGAGAGTCTGCAGGGCTCCTCCTGTTGTCCCCGTAATGCCAAAATCCCCGAAATCAAGGTTTGCCTTGGTTTGCACTTGCAGAAATGGGAGGCGAGCAGGACCCCGGGCAAAGCCAGTAGTGAGATGGTTGGGTACAACCTCTGTGCCGCTGTGTTCCCTGCTGGAATTCAATTCAGCTGGGGATTGGGAAGACTAATTAGCTCCTATTTGCAAAGTGCTCTGGGATGATCTGAAGCATTACA